TTCGCTTCATCCAAAGCGGACGTCGCCACCCGCCATTGAATCCTCTTTGGCGAGCGCCAATTCTATCTCCAGCTTGCTCGCTTGAGCGATTGCCTCTGCCGCCGAAGACCTGAGCTCCTTCTCCATGCTGTCTGACCGCGCTGCCTGGAGCTCCATCGAATGACGGAGGTCGGCCAATTCGCCCTGCAGCTTGTCGACGTCCGCTTGGCTCACCGTCTGGTTCGCGCCTTGCTCCAACCTGTTGACCTTCTCCTTGAGCTCTGGCAGGCAATGTCGCTTGGCGACGAGGTCCGCCACTGCCAACTTCATGCTCTCCTGAAGCTCGATGGTGACCAGCCTGCGAAACTCCTCCATCGCCAACTTGACCTCTTCGCGAATGCTCCAGGCATTTTCTTGAAATGTGGATGGCGGGTTGATTCGCTGGAGCGCCGCTGTGATCTCTGCCTTGATGGTGTTGAGGTCCGCCATCCTCTCCTGGAATTGGACTTCCATCCCGTCCTTGTGCACCAGGAACTCCTGTCGCAACTCGGCACAATTCGCGCAGTCATCGTTGGATGACTGCGAGGTTTCTTCGCCACTGGGGGTGTCGCCTTCGTTCACCGGAGCGGGACTTCCTGTAGACACTCGCTGGACGTCGCGCAAGTGGGGTGCTGTATCCCTGGTCAGTGCTGCATGGATTCGAAGCTGTGGCGGGCGCACTTACCCTTGCTGGTCGGAGGCACTGCTCTGAGGCGGTTCGCCTTCGCATCCCTTTTTGCCTCCACCTCCTTCTTCGCTGCCTTGCGGTCCAGTGGGGTGCCCCTCTTAGCTGGCCTTCACCCTTCATCGAGATGTCCTGCCTTCGCCAATGTGGAGGACTTCGCTCCCTTCGACACCTTGGATATCTCCAGGGAGGGCGTCACCTCCTGTGCCACCTCGGCAGCTCCTGCGCTCATCTCGTGGGGCATCAGCAGCGAACACCGCCGATTGTCGTGTGGCCGCTCCAAGGACGCGCGCTGTTTCATGGTTACATCGACTCCAGCTGCGACAAGATGTCCTGCTTACCTCATCCTCCGCCACCTCTGCCTGATACTCTGGCGCATCCTCTGGTTTGTCGGCGACTGGTGTCAGCATGCGCTTGCTGCTGCTAGCTTGCGGCGGAGCAGCTGGCCCTGTTTGGAAGGCCATAGCCCGCACCGCCTCCATTGCCAGCCTGGCGGCTTCCTCCATGCCATCGCCTTCCGCCAGAGGCATCTTGGCTGCTGCCTTGGGAGCACTCGCCTTCGCCTTCCTGGTGATCACGGGCACCATTGGGCCTGAGCGACCTCCCATCGCCACCCTTGTCGTCTGCCCGCCCTCCTTTGCAACAGACTTGGCAGGCGGGACCTCATCCGGCTCACGTACTGAGGTCCTGGTGACCTCGCCACCATCTTGCGCACCTGAGTTTTGGCTCCTCACCGGCTTTGGCTTGGGTCCTGATTTCTTACCTTCGCCAGGTTTGGCAACTGCACCAGACTTGGCAGGCGCGCCAGACTTGGAGACCTCACCAGAGTTGGCGACCTTGCCAGAGTTGGACAGAGCCACAGCTCCAGTGGCGGTGGCGGACTTGGTGGCGCGCTTGGACTTCGACAATTTCTCCACCGAGGCCTCACCTTCAGCGTTGGCTTCATAGGGCGTGACGGTCGCCTTCTGCTTCGTCGCCTCGACCTCCTCGCCACCCTTGACCTTGGAGCTGGATGCTGCAGCATTGCGCGTCTTGGTCTTCTTCGGCGGCTTGTGCTTTGACGCTCCCATGACCATGGGTTCTGCACCATCAGGCTCATCGGAGTCGACCTTGACGTCGTATGGAGGTGGCGACGTGGGCAGTGGCTTGCCCTCTACCACCAGCACTGTGCACATCTCTTGGAACTCATGCTGTGCGGTGTGTGAGTTTCCTCGCAGGGGCACGCCGTCCATGTTCCTCGGCGCGATGCTGCAACTGACACCTCGTGCTGCACATTCGAGGCAGCGACCGAAGTTGGCGGTGTTGAGCTTGCATGGCCACTCTTTCTCCTGGCAGCCAACACAAGGGACGAGCTGCAGGAACATTAGCACAGGTCAATGTCTCACAAGATCGTTACTCACCGAATCTGTTGCGTGTGCCCACATGAAGTCAGACACGCGGGTGGACGTCTTTTTCCACATGTCCTTCTGCGACACCGTCACCTTCACCTTCGCCTTCGCCGTCACCTTCCCCTTCGCCGTCGCCTTTGCCTTCCCCTTCGCCTTCACCTTCGGTGCGACATGAGGCGTCGCCGTCATCCTTGTTGTCTGTTTGACAGGTTTGGCAGGGGCGTTCGTCTTCGCAACACCATCGTTAGAGTCCCCTGCGGTCTTGGCGGGTAGATTGGAAGGCGGTGCCGGAGTCTCGTCTTCGCTTTCGATGAACTCCTTGCTCTTGTATTCCTTCATCGCACGCTTCTTCTTTGGCGGCTTGACGGTCGGTACTTCCTCTTCATCGCTTGACTCCTTTGCCTTCCTCTTCCCGCTTTTCTTCGTGCTCACCTTCGAGCCCTCCACCTCGGTCTGCGCCATCTCTTTCTGCGCACGCTGCACTCAGCCAGAGGTGGTCGGGGCCTCGCCTTTCTCCTTTGCGACCTCGATCGGCTTCATCTGCTTCGCCTTCGGAGCCGCCTCCTCGTTCTCACTCTCCTCACTCGACTCTGTGATGACCGCCTTGCGCTTTCGGAGTGATGGGGCAGCTGGCGAGATTGATATTGGTCTGGCAGTTGGCGGAGGGGGTGACGCCGCATCAACCTCAATGGATTCGGGCTGGCCTGCACCTGGCACATCTTCCGCCATCTCATCATCGTCATCTTTGTCGGCATCGTCGTCCTCGTCACTGTCGGCATCGTCATCGTCCTCGCCCTCCTGCTCCTCTCCCTCTCCCTCTCCCTCTCCCCCATCCTCTTCCTCGCTCATCGCATGCACCGCCTTCCCCTGCGCCTTCTCCTTGCTTTTGCCCTTTCCCTTGTCCTCCCCCGCCTCCACGTGGACGATACACTCACCCACCATGCCTGTCCCGACGTCATTGTCAGCTCTCTCCTTGCCTTTCCCCTTGGTGACGAGGTCCCCGGTAGCCAGGTCCTCCTTGCCACGTCCCTGGGTGTCGTCATCGGCTGGCACATTGCCCCAGCCCTCCGCTGGCGTACTCTTCACCGGTGGCAGCTTGCAATATGGATCTGGTGCAGTCAGTGTGTCGCTCGACGCCTCACAACGCTTGTGACTCACCTTTAGTCCACCACTGCCTTCCCAGGTCCTCACACTCCCCATACTCGCGCACAGCCAGAGGGTACCTCTTGTATATCCTCTCATCATCGTTCGATATGTGGTCCAGCCGCACCAGGGCCTTCTGCTGGTATGCCCGGGTGAATTCCAGCAACGCGCTGATGACGATCCCAGGCATCCTCAATGACTTCAAGGGCTGCGGGAAACTCTTTTCAAGCTGACTCTGTGTGGCATATTCGGTAAGTGCATGCCAGACCTTCAACCGATGACTTACCACTTCGAGGTAAATCCTCATCTCCCAGTCCGGATAGCGAGGGTCGTCCTGGCGAGGCGCCGCTGCAACAATGGCCGTCAGTCGCACGGCCTGCAGAACATAGTTGGGGTCGATATCCAGAGGCATGGTGAGCTTGACAGAAGAAAGCGTGAGGGTGTTTCAAAAGCAGAGGTTGCAGTACAGCGGAGGCAGAGCAGATGACGCTATGAGCTGGCAGACGCGATCTGCACCAAGTTCAACTTCACACACCATGCGACCACGTGCTTTGCACGTGATCGCTGGACTTGCGCGATTTCTCAAGTCTCTCAAGGTCAGTGTGACCTGCCGCAAGTTCTCATGGCTCCCAACAGTAAGTTCTATTGCTCTCCTTGTGGAATCTGACTCCTTTGTGATGTTATCTGACCTTTCTATGTCATATCAATCCCCTTTCTACAACTGATCTCCCGCAATCCAGGACTGATCGAAGACTTGTCTGCTCGCCACAATCTACCTGCCATGGCCAGTGACGCGGAACCTCCTGACACGCTGGACATTACGATGGGCGAGTCGGATGAGGAGGATAGTATCGCTGAGCCCCGTCGTCCACTCATTTCGGATCTCCTTGACTCTCCTGGATCTGCCCAGATCTCCTTGCCTCTCCACTCTGCTTCTCAGACACCCCTCGCGCCCCGCCACACTACCTCATCCCTGGCGGCTCCATTTGCGCCATCCAACTCACCACATGAGCATCTCCACCGCCACGCCTCGCCAAAGGTACAGGCGTCATCTGGATCTGTGGCGCCTGTGGAGGGAAGTCGCGCACTTATTCCTGACCCTCTGGCGCCAGCTTGGGATGAAAGTCGTGGCAGTTTGCCAATCCATAGGCGTGCACTCATCTCAGATTCCACCCCCACTGCGCCCAGTGGAATGTTCGACTTCGACACTCCTGGCATCTCGCCAATCCCTCGACGTGCCCTGTTGGAAGCTACTCCCCTTCCTTCACCAGCTCACACTTTCGACTTTCGCACTCCTGACACCTCCCAACTCCCTCGACGATCGCTCATCGCTGAGCCCCTTGACGCTACGCCACGTACATCCATCCACTTCGATAGTCAAGCAAGTACGCCGATGGCGAGGGGCATGCTGGTGGACGAGACACTTGATGCGGAACCAGTGCCGAAACTGCTGGACTTTGACAATAGTCCTCCCACCACGCCAGGACGACGGCGAGCTCTGGTGATAGACAGCCCTGGCGCGACGCCTGTGCGTAGCCAGCCCTGGCGCGACGCCTGTGCGTAGCCAGGTCCGGTGGCTAAATAGTCCCAGCACTTCGCCTCCAAAGAGGCGGCCTTTGTTGGACGATGTTTTAAGTCCACCACCTCCGCCATCGGCGCCCTCTCACTCGCCAGCTCGCACTTTCGATGACAGCAATTTCCGCCATGATGCACCTGTCATTCACTATATGAAAGGCAGCATCGAGCCAGTCACTGTTACTTCCAGGATGCCAAGTCTGGCAGCACTTCCAGATGAGCTGCCGATCCATCGTCCCACCCATTGGGAACAGGTTCCAGGCTTATTCCCAGATACCACACAGCTGCTGCCAATGGCAGTCCCTGGAGAGACGAATGCCGCTTCTGGCTCACAAGTGGCCCGCCTCGGTAGATCGTTTGCGCAGATCGCAGCAGAGGCAGACAGTTCCAGTGAGTACATCCCTGGCAACCTTCAGTCTGATGTTGACCTTATTCATAGTGGACGATAACGAAGGTGATAGCTTTGCAGTTAGTCGTCATCGCGCCATGTTGCAGGAGCGCATTGTACGTCTTCAGCATGAGCTCAACCTCACTGAGGATATGCACGTTGCAAACCTCAATGCCAGCTCGACCGTGTTCCAAATGGGGTACATTCTGAGGGACATTCGTGGCGAGGCGTATCGCAGCAACTGAACTAGTGTCTTTGAGCGTTTTGGTGTTAGCAATATATGACCGCTATGTAACAGCTTGTATACCAGTAAAAAATGGATACATTCACTTCTGCATCACTAAGCTCTAAAGCCCATCGCTCCTCCAGTGTACTCTTCAGATGGGCGAACTGCGCTCGCCATCACCAAGGCATGTTGTTGCCAGCAATTGGCCCATCGCCAAAGGACCTGAGTGAAAGCTTCACTGCATGGGAATATCGCTCTGCCAGCAAAGGGCCCACTGCCAAGGGTCAGAGGGTTGGCCATCACCAAGCCGTGTTTTCGCCACCAATTGGCCCTCCGCCATGAGTGCTGGTGAGTGATGGGCCCACCGGCAAAGGTCAGAGGATTGGCGATCACCAGAGCACGTCATCACCACCAATGTGCCCGGAAACTGCAGGGCTGTATGTGACAATGGGCCCATTGGTGGCGATGACATATCCTGGTGATCGTCAACCCACTGGCCTTTGGCGGTGGGCCGATTGCTGGCGATAACATGCTCTGGCGTTGGCCAACCCTCTGACCTTTGGCGGTGGGCCGATTGCTGGCGGAAACATGTCCTGGCGATGACCTATCCCATGGGTGCTTGCAGTAAGGCCCTCACTGAGGGTGCTTCGGCAATGGGCCGACTGCTGGCGATAACATGCTCTGGCAATCGTCAACCCTCTAACCTTTGGCGGTGGGCCCATCCTTCAGGTTACACTCTGGGCGATCGGCCCACTGCTCATTCGTCATACTCTGGCGGTGGGCCGATTGCTCAGACAAACATGTTCTGGCCATGGCCAACACTCTGACCTTTGGCGGTGGGCCCATCCGTCATCTCATTCGTCATACTCTGGCGGTGGGCCGATTGCTCAGACAAACATGCTCTGGCCATGGCCAACACTCTGACCTTTGGCGGTGGGCCCATCCGTCATCTTACACTCGTGGCGATGGGCCCACTGCTCATTGATCATACTTTGGCAGTGGGCCCATCGATGGCGATAACATGCTCTGGCGTCGGCCCACCCTCTGACCTGTGGCGGTGGGCCCATTGCTTAACGGTTACAACACTGTAATATGCCCTGCTAGTGGGCCGAGCACTGGGAGAAGAACACTAGCGGTGGGCCCACTGCTAGTATCCCACACATGAAAGATATGGGCCCACTGCTGGTAGAGGTCAACATGATGACAATGGGCCGACGTCCGCTGGCTGTCCAGTTCATAACAATGTCAGGGTAAATGGGAGTTCAGTTCAGGTAACATGACTGAAAGGTGTGACAGAGGCAGCCCGAACCCCAGCATCACTGAAGGTGATCACTTCTGAGCATCGTGCTGTCGTTGCTGGGGGTTCGAGTATTCCTCTTCAGACGGATGATGGCAATGCAGGTTGTGAAGAAGACAATGCACCTTTGGTTGCCAAGGCTAAGCCTGGGAAGGTTAAGAAACTTACCCAGACTGACATTGATGCAGCACACAAGGTACTCGAGGCCAACGTGACTTCGGGTCCCGCTTCTGTGCTTGCATGCGGCGAGGAGAACATGCCCCCTGTGACTGCATCTGGTGGCCTTGTGTGTCCCTCGAAGCGGAAGGAAGTCACAGCTATGTCATCTGAGTTGTGAGTGCACTGTTTCTTGTATCATCAGTTGTTGAGCACCGGCGACTCTCCGGTCATGCTTCAAAGAAGCCGAAGCCTGCTCACCCAACAGGCATCCAGAACACTTGGACGCTGAAGCCAGTGAAGCCGCCCCACAAGTCGAAGTCGAAATTTGCCAAAGCAGCTTCTGCCCCGGGTGGTACAGGTATCGTCATCAACGCTGGAGATGGTGGATTACAGGACTCCGGAGACGAGAATGGGGATGTGGAGCATGCTGCGCTGCACGGCTCGGGTGCAAGGGCCCAGGGACGCCACACGAGCAATGTGAGTAGAGGATTGGCAAGCTTGCTGTAACACTGTCCCGATCTCACCTATTTTCAGGGTATTGTTCACATTGATCTGACTCAGTCCCAGGAGACTCGGTTGGCTGATGATCCTGTCGAGGCTGTGGCATGTTGCGGCAACAGCAGTAAGAGATTTACTAACTCCGATCTCCCCATTCCCTTGGGTCTCCTTTGGAAGTGGTATCTCCAGCTCATTCTGCGCTATCTGGAGAAGATCGGCGAGTCAGCATGCAATCCCTGGAATGTCATCGGCCTGGATCTCATTGCCATGCTACAGCAGCTCTGGGATGAAATTTTCCCTGACATTCCTATCATTGTCACCCCTCGCGAAGCCGTCTATGATGTGGTAAGTGGGCATGTGTTGCTCTTTAGTAGCAGAGAAGCCGCTTACTGTTGTGCATGCAAGGCCCAGCAGCATGTCCGTGATTGGCGCCACAAGATCGCGGAGGCTGGAGTGGCTGCAGTTGCGAACTTCTTCGTGCTGCAGGCAAAGAATGGAGGTGTCGAGACTGAGGAGGAAATCGTGGAATACGTCAAGTGGGCCCTCAGCTCAGGCATGCCTTTTCGGTATGCAGGAGCAATGATGAAAGGCCCTGATGGCAAGGTTCCTGTGAGTATTTCAACTTTGATATCGCACTCGATTGGTATGTCTGACCCACTGAGTATGTGTCGACTGATGTCAGCTGCCAGATTCGAAGGGCCCATTCCAGTCTGAGTTCATCCTTCGCACTCTTGGAGCTCATTTCGCATGTACCAACCGCTGCTCAGAGATTGCCGGGATTCCTGACACTGCGCTTGCACTCTGTATCACCTCGGTATGTTTGCCTCCACGCCCGGAATTTTTTGCCGATCAGATCCCCTGGCAGGTCGAGTGTGTGCTCAAGCATTGGGAGAGTGGTAGTATTGTGGATGTTCCTGAGCCGAAGTTCAGTCAAGAGACTTATGGCCAGATCATGAACTACTACCTGAACTCGGTCTGCAACTTGCGCAAGGCGACTTGGGCGAAAATAATTGAGGGTGGTGAACGCTGGAGGTGCACATTCACTGTGTTTTCGCCGTTCTAGTAGGGGGTCTGCTACGAATAGGCTATGCCAGATAGAATACATAGTTTGATGGGTAGCCGAAATCGCAATGTGAAGATAGGCAGAGTAGGGCAGATAGCGAACATAGCTGTGACCCCCACTGCTATGTCATAAATCTTGATGTGAAAGATGTGTGCTAGCCCACATAGCTTATGCATCACATTTGGTGCACGATCTCACTTATCTACGACCATCTGCTACGTGAGCTATACTACATCACTGTGCTCCTTTCTATACAGGCTTTCTGGTGTACCTTGCACCAGCTACATTGGCTATTCCACATAGCGATTTCAAGCTTGACGTACATATAACTAGTGCTAAGTTCAGGCCTCCATCGGCCCAAGCACATCATCGTGTCCAAGGTCAAGTTCACCTGGCGTACACTACGTGCTGGTTCCACGCCCTTCCATCCACAGATTCACTGGCCCATTGACCGCTGTCTAAACATATTTCTGGCGTGCCGTCGCCATCACCTTAAGAGTGAGGAGTGCTGTGTTGCCTTCTATCTGCATGACATGGTCTCTGCATGCTCTTGGTCTCTCGGGTCATGGCTGAACATGCGATGTGCTCTACAATTTTTGTGTTTGTCCAAAGTTGGGATGCTCCATTGACACCTCTCGTGACAGGTATGTGAGAAACAGACTGCGTCGCAAACCCCATCAGAAGATCGACATGCAAAGTCTATTCTGTTGCAGGTGTGATTAGGTATGCAGTAGGGGATGTGAGCACATCAGGAGTATCTACTATTAGTATATAATGGAATAGACGGGTGTTGTTGATGGTAGCCATGGAGCATCGCCAATATAGCTGAAGTTTGATATTTCTTGTAGCCTAGGAAGTGTATGCTGTAGCTTCTAGACTGCTAGTGACTACGTGCTGCGCAGCATAGCCAACGTATCACCTTGTTCACTACAGGGGATCGCACAGTGAAAGATACACTTGAAGCTTGGTAACCCAGCTTGGGGGTTGATATGCAGAACTATGCGGTGTAGCCCAGGTCCTAGTTATACCACGTATCCATGGGGGTATCTTGCACCCAGACATAAGGGCAAAAACGCAGTGATTCAGACTTCTCCCTGGTGACTTTAGCGATAGCGAGTGGGAGGCTGGTGCAGATGGTGAACGTGGGGCTATAAAGGACGATTCTGACTGAAGGTAAGTGACGCTCCTCCTTCGCGCGGTGCGTGACCCACTCATTTCGCCCAACAGCTATCTTGGCTTTGCATGCCATTATACCCAGAGGGTGTCTACTCCTCAACCTTTCTCACTCTTTGACTTGATGCACATACTTCTCAACAGGCTACTGCTTCCGCACCATGCGTGAAGCAAGGCCTTATACCTCTTGTCTTGGTTTGACTACTCTCCACCTTCATCCATTTGTCACACCTCATATAGCACCTTCCATAATCAGATTTATCGCTGGACTACTCCCAAGCTTATCTACGTGTTCGTGTTACTGTTACTAGTGTCTGCACGTCATACGGTGCTCATTTTTGGTTTTACATTTTGCACCTTGCTCATGTCTTGAAAGTGCCATGACTTGGTCTTGAGAATCTATTACAGCACCTGTAAACGACTTGAGACTGCTTTTTCAAGAACAAACCTCATTACTCAAGACAACACCGTATGGTGCGCTTATGGTCTTGAACGTCTTGATAAGACCGATAAGACTGATAAGTAAAATCGACCGTTTTGCTGATGTGTGTCACAATGCGCACCATGCGTGCACCAGAAAGCACTGTGAACTTGTTCTCCTGGAAATGCTGCGAGATTAGACAGGGAATGAGATGTAGAACAATTCGCACTGTGCGGGGTGCGGGCAGCTGTGCGCGCTCGAGCATGGCACAACTGTCACATCGAGGCAGAGAAGGCTGTTGAGCCACTTCTCGACAGTGTCCCCGGCCACATATTCAATCGGCGTCTCGAGCTTGATCTCGCGCAGTGTGCGTGCTTTCGGCGGTGCCTTGACGATGGGCTTCTTGGAGCTCGAGCTTCCCGCTGCATCGTCTTCGCCTGCGATGGTGTCTTTAGTAAGCGAGGGGTGGATGCTCTCATGGAGCTGTTGGATGAGCTTGAGTGAGAGTGATCGGCCGGTATAACAAGCATTGTGCTCTGGAGGTCAGAGTGACTCGATGCAGGAGGACAAGAGTGCAGACGTAGTAGTGAGTATGGTGACGCATCCATGTTGCAGTCTCTGTCACACGATGAGCTCGGCGTGGGTGCAAAGAGATGATCTAAGTGCAAGTACACTGGGCACAAGTACAATGTATGGTATATAGCTAATCGAGACATGTGTGCAGGCAAAATTCGACAGATGGCGGCCTTACGTCGAGCAAAGTGCAATTCAGACGGGACATGGTACAGGATCGATGCATCAAATCACAGGATCTCTCGTACGTGTTCGACCAGGTGAGATCTGGTTCGACCTCCTGCGATAGTCCAAGTCATGCCGTGATCTGGTGTGTCTTGGTTCATTCTTGGAATATGCGTTTTTCACTGGGCGCGTGAGTACGTGAATCTGATAGAACCCCTGCCGCTTCAGCCAGAGTGGCAAAGGACCGGAGTAAAACATCACTCGCCACTGATGTTTCGGCGCAGATGTGGGTTTCTTTCAGTTAGTAAGGCGTGGACCACATGCACAAATGCACGTCTGGCAGCAGCGCTAAGGATGAACGGTAGATAACAGTCGACTCGGAATCATGAGGCATTTTGAGCAAGGTTGCACCGAAAAGATCCCGTTCACATAGGCCAATACACAGATCGTCTGTCATTCCTCCTCGCATCTCCACGACTTCTTCGGGGTTCCCACGGTCGCTCTCCCGATGTGACCGGATGCGTTAGGTGACTCTGCGTGACAATATTGTGAGGGTTGGCAACTCTTGACGCGCATTTTCTAGACATTCTTTCAAACAGCCACAACGGCCCCCCTAATAGACACACCTCCCACACTCTACTGCGTGTCATTTCAATGATGGTGATCGTGAGTATCCTTTTCCAGCGTCTGCGGTGGTCAAATCTTGGAGAAGAGTGGATTTTCTCTGTAATGCAAATCTTAGCGATCACCAAATACTTTTGCAAGCGAGAAGATCATGCCAGAAACATAATGGCGTACGTCAAGGCTTTTCGATTCCTCTGTGAACATACTGGTCAGTAATTCAGGGCAGGTTATCCGCTATCCGCCGTGCTCGCTCGCAGCCTCAGCTCTTCCTTGGATCTTCTGGAATGACTCGAAAAGCAGCCTGGCACCAGTTGTCTATTGATGGTTAGCTAAGTCTCAGCTTGGTGCATCAATCATCGGAAGTGGTGTACCATGAGGATGCGCATGAAGTTTGTTCCTAAGTCCAGCGGATGCGGACAGTTGAAATATCGACTGGGTGAATGCATTCCTGGGTATGGATATGTAGGGAATATTAAGGCGACAATATGTTGGCCCCGCTGGATATTATTCCCTTAGAGGCTGCATTGCAGTAAATGTACTAAAAGAATGCAGCTAATGCGAGAATCCGTCCGTCCTCTGCGATTTCTGTCTCTGTCCCATTAACCGTATCTACTCTTAGGACGAATTCAAAGCTGCATGAATCTGTCCATTCAATAAAAGCCATCCATGGAGACCTGGTTCTCATCTCTTCTAACCTGGAACTATGGCGAGTTGTGTGTTATCCCCCCTTTTTGCTCCATTTTGCCTAGCTCGTCTCACGCGTACATTGCTTGACAGGCTTCTCGATCACCTGGTACGTCCGCAGTGGCAAATTTTCAGCGGCCTTAGCACCTGAATGACACACATGCTCCCTATCAATCTCCTTAACCCCACTACCCCCAAACAGTTCAGATACGCACCATATCTCATCAGATGACGACGACACTGACACCTATATAACTGTCTCTTGCAGATGTCTCACTCCCTAATCCTTCGCCATGTCTACCTTGACACTGTGTCTACTTATCGGCTGTATTTTACCCCTCTTGCTATACTCCCGTAGGAGGCGACTCACACCTCCTCTCCCGCCTGGCCCACCTGCCGAACCTTTGATTGGTCATACACGTATCTTCCCCGCAGTTCACCAGATCGACGTGTTCCGAAAATGGGCTGCAGAGTACGGTTAGTAATTGAATTCTTTTCGTGGTCTAGTTCCTCGCTCAAGCAGAGCGATCCAACAGGAAACATATTTTATCTCAAAGTCCTGGGGAAGCCAATAGTGGTGCTCAATAGCTTTGAAACCGTAACTGATCTCCTGGAGAAGAGGAGTGCCATCTACAGCGATCGAGCAGACTGCACGACATACTCCTTGTGACTATCAGTCCGTTTGATCCGCATTGGTACTCTATACTAACAATTTGACCAGGATGGGATTGGGAAGTGTGACAGCGCTGTTGCGATACGGCGCGCAGTGGCGCCGGCAGAGGCGGATGTTGCAAGAACCGCTGTTAGCCAAAAGCTGCATCGCTCATCAGGACATGCAACTACGAGAAGTGGGATTGATGCTCAAGAACATACTGACATCATCCGAGAATTCTGGATTAGCCATTGAACGGTATTGTATCTGTTACTTATCTCAAGCTCCACGGATTTATGTCAAATTTCAGACTTGCTGCGGGGATTATCATGGAACTCGCGTACGGCCACCAGGTGCTCTCCAACGATGACGAATACATTAAGATCGGTGAGGACGCGACACATGCGGTGGAAGCCGGGGCTGCGGGGACGTCTCTGCTCGATCTATTACCACTTCGTAGGCCAATGTCCTCATCTCGTTGCATGTTATTTGTAATGATTAAATTGACAGTGCAACATATCCCGCCCTGGATTCCCGGCTGTTCTTCGTTTACTGCGGCTGTTAGAAAGTGGCGCCCTGCGGTCTCAAGGATGTACGACGTTCCATTCGATGCTGTACGGGCGCAGATGGTGCTTTCTGGACATTGTCTGTTTCGCCACATATTGACAAGCTTTCAGAATGCTGGGACAGCTCGGCGGTCGTACACCT